AGAGACAGGGACAGAGAGACAGAGACAGAGAGACAGGGACAGAGAGACAGAGACAGAGAGACAGGGACAGAGACAGAGACAGAGAGACAGAGACAGAGAGACAGACAGAGAGACAGGGACAGAGAGACAGGGACAGAGAGACAGAGACAGAGAGACAGAGACAGAGAGACAGACAGAGAGACAGGGACAGAGAGACAGAGACAGGGACAGAGAGACAGAGACAGAGCGACAGGGACAGAGAGACAGAGACAGAGAGACAGACAGAGGAGGGTGGGAAAGAAGAATAAAGCCCCTCCTCCAGCTGTGACTCCACCCCCACTTGGCGGTGGTCTCAGAGCCCCTCACAAGCCTCCTGTCCTTGGGTGAGGGGTAGCCCAGGGTGCCGCCCTGCCTTCCTCCCGGAGCCCCAGAGCCTGGGCTGGAAGGCAGCCTGTGACCACAGGGAAGGAGGGCCTGGGACAGGTTGGCCACACGGACCCAGTCCCCCCAGGCAGGCTGGTAGCCTGGGCCCTGGCGTGGTCTGTCGCATGGCACTCACCCCGCTGCGGCCCCCTCCTTCCACCCAGCTCCAGCCCCGCACCCAGCACCGACCACTGCACATTAAGGCGGGAGCAACCTTCGGACTCGGCCCGCAGACCCTCCAGCGGGCGGCCGGAGCGGAGAGCGTGTGGCTGAGCAGGGGCTGGGCTGGGGAGCCCCCATCCGTGACTCGGGCCCTGGGAGTTACCCTCAGTGCCAGCCTTCTGCTGTCCTCACCCTGGGGCCCCTCACCCCCTCTGGCTCCCAGGCCCTTTCCTCCTGGAAGCTCCCTCCCTGACAATCTGGGAGGGAGGCCTGGCCTGCCCCTCCCCCAACTGTGGCCTGAAAAGAGCCCCACCCTCTCCCACAAGCGGAGCTGGGACACCCCCTAGTGGCCACTGACACCCACAGGCTTCTGGCTCCATTTGTTCCTTGTCCTCTGAGCAGGTGACTCGGGACAGAGACAGTGACAGGGATGGGGTGCAGGGCTGTGGCTCGGTGACTGGAGGGAGATACATTTGGAGAATCGACTGCTCTGGCCACAGTTGCCACAAGGCAGCAGTTCCCGTCCCCACCCAACCCTCCCCGTGCCTTTGAGCGGCTTCCGTCTGCCCCTCCGGCATGAGCACTGGGCAGCGAGGATGGGCTCTGAGCGTGCTGGGGTCCTCCTAGGCTGCGTCCGTCCTTACCCGCCCGGCTCTCCCCATGACGGGGGCCAGCCTGGTGGGGATGCATCCCGGCTCTTGGCCCCCCAGTAGGTTTGCAGGCAGGGTGGAGGTGCCCACGGGGGCCTTTATAACCACGTATGTTGA